AGGTTTACTTGAAGTCACAAGCTTTCAGAGCACTGCTCCTCCATCAGGTGAAGTGACTTCACCTACCTAGGAGCTGCACTCTAAACACTTGTGATTCCAAATAAATCTGTTGGACTATAACCTGGTGTCGTGAGAGTTCTGACTTTGTCCACCCTAGTCCAACACTGGCACCTCCACATCATGACAAGATGCTCATAATTCCCCTTTGCATCTTCTCCATTGAAATCACATCCTTCCAATATAAAAGTGACCAAATGTGCACACAATTTGAGAGCTCTGGGTTAACAGGTCTAGCCTAAAGTCTTATCAATCACCACACCACATGAGACAGGAAGAGGTTGAGGAGAGTCATTCATGGTAACCAGGAACTTTATTCACTAGGCAGCACTTAAAACCATCCTTTGTTACCCCTAAGGAGGAGCTGGTGATTAAACCCAGGTTAGCATCACATATCAGCCATTCAGCCAACTGAGTTAAATGACCCACTCAGTCCAGCATAATCAATCATAACACCTTCATTGTCTAGTTTCGGATTATGAAGACAACCTTCCTACACACATTTAACTAGCTTACCCACATTCCAACATCTCCCTACTCCTCCACAGAATTAAGTATACTCTGCAACGATTTGTTGCGGAAAAACTGTCTCCACTGGCAGACAGGTCAGTGAGCAGAGGGCCACAGACCGGCTACACAGCGGAGGTGAACCCGCCATAGTCCGAGACGAGCACAGGCCTGCCCTCTCTTAAGGGCGAGATGACTTGGGGGAGGGGGGAAAGAAAGAGTTTAACCTGAGGGTTCACCACACCTCAGGGGACAGGGGAGATGGAAAAGGCAGCACCTTCACGGAGACCGCCTCAGCCTGTATAGGAATTAAACCAAATTGTTAGTATCACAGTACAGCACAAACCCAGCAGGCCAGGCTAACTGAGCCCCCGGGCATCACACCCTCTGGTTACCGGGCTCCCCCCCCGGGCATCACACCCCCCAGTTACCGGGCACCCTCCGCCACCGGGCTTTCCCCGGGCATCACACCCCCCGGTTACCGGTCCTTTCCCCTCCCCCAAAAACCCCGGTTGCAGACCCTCTTAGTACTGGTGCTCTCCTCCCGGTACCTCTGGTTACCGGGCTGCCCCGGTTTATTGATCGCCATCTCTCCGCCGGGCTGAGGGACAGAAATGTCTGGTAACGGAGCGACACGGGCACCGCCCCTCTTAAAGGGACAGGCTCCCCCTCAGCCCCGAGCCCCGAGCCCCAGCTTCTTAAAGGGCCACTCACCGGCCCCAGGCTCCAGCCCAACACACCTCTCAAACACCTCAACAGGGCAATGGCTTCATACGTGGGACTCAGGCCTTAGACGACAGTACTTCAAGTTTGGAATGTATGCCTCAAGATAAAATTATGTAAAAGGCTTCTGGTAGTCAACACTTTTTTTTAAACGACGGGTAATGGAACAGATTTATGGTTTAAATCAGATCAGCCATGATCTTATTAAATAGCAGGGCAGGTTTGAGGGGTTTACTGGCCTATTAGTGCTCCCTGTTCATTGTTAGCTCCCTCTTTGGGAAGATCTTGAGCTGCAAGAAATTCAGGATATACTGGTTACAGCACACCTGTCTGCCCTCTTCTGTTTATTTATTTTTGGGTGTTGCCAGCAAGGCTGAAATTTACTACACGCGACTAGTCCTGAGAAGTTACTTTGGTGCTTGGCTTCAAATGGTTTCTTAGGCAAATTCAGAGTCAACCATTTAAGTTTGGACATTGGAATTACATATCTATCAGAGTTGAAGGCAAACTTCCCAGTTTAGGTTTTCTTGCAGCAATAATCAGTTTCAGAAGCAGAACCAACCAGCTTTGTAATTCCTTGTTATAGTGATTTTAACAAGGTCAGTCAGGTGGACCTAATAGAATATGACTTCCCTGTTTGGGGCTGTTAATCTGGTCCAATCAGACAGCCCTGGCTGACAGAAAGAAACAACAGTGTCAGACATCCTGTCACTGAGAGTTGGGTCTGAAGGAGCTGGATCAGTATCAAGGACTTTCCACATCTTAATAAAGGATGACTTGGTGATGGGATACTGGCCCCTTGGAATTATTTCACTTACGTTTTGACCTAAAGGAAGACCTGTATGCCTTCTTACCAGTCAAGGCATAGATTACAAGAACAGGGAGGTTATGTTTGAGTTGTATAGGACTTTGGTTAGGCTACAGGTGGAGTACTGTGCACACCACACTATAGGAACGATGTGATTGCACTGGCCAGGGTGCAAACGAGGTTCATGAGGATGTTTTCTGTGATGTAGCACTTTAGCTATGAAGAGAGGGTGGATAAGCTTGGGTTGTTTTCTGTGGAGCACAGAAGGTGGTGGGGGACCTGATAGAGGTGTATAAAATTATGAGGGGCACGGACAGGATGAATGTTCCCCTTAGTTAAAAGGTCAATAACAAGGGGACATAATTTTAAGGTAAAAGACTGGAGGTTCATAAGGGATTTGAGAAGGTGTTTCACTCCGAAGATGGTGAAGATCTGGAATGCAGTGCCTGGAACGGTAATTGAGGGCCTAGCCTCACAACCTTTAAAAAGTACTTAGAATGTTATAACATTCAAGGCTGTGAGCCTTGGGCTGGTAGGTGGGATTTATGTAGATTTAGTGTAATTTTGGCAGTATGGTCTTGATGGGCCAAAGGGCATCTTCTATACTTATGATTCTAAATGCCAATTCTCAAACTGCCATGGTGAAATTTGAAGATACCAAGGACTGCAGATGCTGGAGTCAGAGTCAACACTGTAGTGCTGGAGGAACACAGCAGGTCAGGCAGCATCAGAGTTAAGAAAGTCGATGTTTTGGGTTGGAACCCTTCAGTCCTGAAGAAGGGTCCCCACCCAAAACATTGACTTTTCTACTTCTCTAATGCTGCCTTACCTGTTGTATTCCTCCAGCTCTACACTGATGGTGAAATTTGAACTCTCATTCATTAATTACTAGCCTAGACCACTCCATTTATGAGGTATTAAAATTTGCACTTAATGGAGTGAGCAAATTTTTTAGCTTTTACAGTTCTTTCCCAGCACAAGCTGGTCTGGTAATGTGGCAGCAACTGAACACTACCAGCAATTTTACAGCAAGGAAAGTAGAGAATCATTTGGATCTGTAGCATCATTTATACCATTCTAGTCAGAAAATGACAAAGAACCTGTTAGCATCCTGTCTGTCTAACAGAAGAGTGTCCATTCCTTGTGTATGTTTAAGGCTGAGAGATGGATTCTTGATCAGTAGGGGAATCAAGGGTTATGGGGAAAATGCAGGATGTGAGCAATGTTGGATCAGCCATGATCCTATTGAAAGGTGGAGTAGGCACGAGGGGCTGAACAGCCTACTTCTGTTCCTACTTCTTACGGTCTTATTTGGTTGAGGAACTGAAGAGAAAAACTTAAAAACAAAATGGCTGAAGGCAAACGAACATTTTCAGACACTGACAGCTTTGGTGGCTGGAGTTGATTTTTTTTTTCCCCAATCGTGGCTGCATAAAACAGTTCTGTGACTGCAATAAGATCAATCCCAGATCATTGATGATTCCAGATCACAACAAAATCAAATGTAGAATTAAAATATCATATTGTACCAGTCCTGCCAGGACAGTGACTGACATTCCGCAATAGCCACTTCTGAAGGGCTCATACATGACATTTAATAGGGTTTGCAATTATAAATTAGCTGCAATCATGCTTTACCCCATTTCAGTAATCTAGTGTTTTATACAGAAGCAATCAAAAGGGGAAAAAATATTTATAGAATATCTTTCACAAGTTCAGGTTGTTCTTTACAGCCAATTATGTACTTTTTGAAGTGTCAGCATAATAGGAGGTCTGCACTATTCGTTGTTCCGATATTCATTATTTCATATGTGCAACTCAATTCAATTAGGGAACAATTTTGGTTCTTCAGCTTGTTTTGTACTTTGGTTGTTATATTGGCATGTTGCCAAAAGTTCATTCATTAATTCTTATGGAAAATCCCCAATTTTCATTCTTTTGCTGTTCATCTGATTTTACTGAAATGTATCTCCTATGAATAGCCAGGATTTGCACACATTCTCTCAAACAATAATTAGATAATGATTGGATAGTCAGACTGGACGTAACCCGAACAATGCATGGTGGGACCTCTCAGAAATTTTGATGCACTGATTGCAAGGTAATTGTCAGAAAGTATAAATTTCAGTGCACAGTTATCCAGCATCTGGGACCTTCTGTAAAAGTACCCAACTCTGAGATGGAGACTTCAGAGGGTTCCAATTTACTTACCTGAAATTAACCAGGAAATATTAGAGGGATTAAAACATGCTCTAATTCCTGGTTAAGCATAAAACTGATCTCTCTCCAAAATCACTCACATTGACCCCCACAATGACACATCTTTTGAATACCTAACTCTACCCATTCACCCCACCCTGATAACAGACTGATTCCTGCTAGACACATGACCATGCCCTTTTGACAAACTCCTCGTGGACCCCATTAAGCACATGCCAGACTAATCTCTTAACCACCAGGCACCCTACTTCTCACCCACTTACACAATTACCTGCTTTCAGTAGGTATCAAAAGGATTTGGGACCTCTTAAAATAAAAAACTCCATTGACTGACTTATTAGAAAGTAGCAGCTACTGCTGTAAAAAAGAAATGTGCTTTTTTAAAAGATTCCGTCCCTTGCTGCCTCAATTCTTTGCTGGACTACATCTGTTGGGATGAATTCTGCATTGGAGGTCAAACCTGAAAATTCCCGGTAAAATAAGTAGACAACTTACTTTTTGTTCTGGGTCGTATTTTCTGATCTGGGTCGTAAATTCTAAGATTTGGGAATAAGAAAAGGAACGTGTTGATTCCCAGTGTGAGACACGGAGTAATCTCTCCTTGTGTATATTTTACTTCATTTAGATCTCGTAGAGAATTTGCTGGCTGTACATATCCTGGTAACACAAACGGAGCACTCACTCCAACACTCAACTTAGCTTTATTTCACAAGAGATAGCTAGGTGCAGCAATAGTGACCCTGCTGGAACATGGACAATTACAGCTCACTGATGGGCTTGTGCAGCCAGAAGAAATACTTCTTGTCTAGCTGGATCCCAGGGAAAGCATTGTTCAGATCCTCAATGGTCATCTGGTGAAACGGAATCATGGTTTTGAACTTCAGTTCGTGAAATGGAATCATGTTTTTGAATTTGATCTGGTGAAACCAAACCATGCTTTTTAATTTCGTCAGCTGGAAAACAGCAAGTGAACAGAACAAATGAGAAAATATACATGGTCTAGCACACTGACAACCAAATAGAACAGGTTTGTCCTCTGAGAATCCACACCCACTTACCCCTCACCAACATAAAACCTCCTTGTAAAACCCAACAAACTCTTCGCTTTGTGTTAGGAGTCCTGGGCTCTAATTTGCATTCTGCCTGTGCATTGTAAGTACAATATGTACAAGTTGGTGAGGTCAGAAACAAGAACAGGATTGAAACATTGTGGAATTATCCCCTCCCTGGAGTGGCATGAGCAATAGCAAGAAATATAGGAAAATACAGAGAGAACCAAAAGAAAAAGTTCAGAATCTCAATATCATGAAAAATATTTGCAATTTTCCCCTGAAGCCTCAAATTGCAACTTCAGAACCTCGCAGTCGACCTTATTCTCCATGCATTTACATCTCATTAAAACCCAAACACACTTTATTTATGATATGCTTTGCCCAATACTCCTCTCCTTCCCTGAGAAACCAGATAGCACAAATTCTTGATGAGTAAGTCAGAGCTGGTACTTGACAGCTGCACCTTACCAAATGCTTGTCCCAGGCCATCATGGAAATGTTTCTGCACAACGATGTCCCTGCATGCTACATGACCACCATCGTCCTCCATCTATTGTACATGTGAGTTAGCACTGGCAAAGAACCTACTGCACCATAGTTTCATGCCTACTAGTGGACCAATTTACACACCATTTCAGCCCTTGAACACTTTATTTTGGAGCTCAGGAACCCATACAACTTGCACGCTTCTGCTAGGTTCTTTACATGCAGGTACACAGACATGCCTCATGAGTCTACACCATCTTATGGCTCTTGTTTTCTTAATGCTGACTTACTATTTACCTATTGGAGCTGTCAGCCTCTTTCTACTTGGTTTTCTTTTCTCAGTGCATACACTAATGTTAGCATTGACTTATGAGCTGCCAGTTTCTAGGCAGCTCACATTACTTTCTTAGTGCACTGATCTTCAGTTCTCAGTCACAGATTGCCAGCTTCTGTGGGTCACATCGACTTTTATTTCAAAGGGATAGGCAAGCAGCTTGTCAAGGCTCAGAGCACTGAACTGTCAAGTGGATGGACACATCAATGTTTGACACTATGTTACATCAAAATCACATCAGCAGCAATGCTGTCTGTTTACATGGCGAACATACTACTAGCACTTCAAATAAATGGCCATATGAAAGTCCTTACTGGGGAGAAGAGGTCAGTCAGGGTACCACCACAGTCAGTCAAGTGCTTTGTCCTCTTTCAGTCTAGGGACTACCAGAGTATGGGGATCCATGTAGTTGGCATTCTGAGATTTGGGCCACCGTCAGTCCTACCAGTCAAGTACTTAGGTCATGCCAAAATAAATTAACAGAGTTCTTTAGTACACAAGCGGTTGGTTACTATAATCTGCCACCAGTACTGACATTTTGTCATCAATTAGTACAGATCATCACTGTGGCAATACAGTGGCATTAGCACAATCTCTGAGCCATCATAATTAATCGAAGCTGTACAGCACAGTCATGGGGACACTTGGATTACAAGACAGTCAGTGTGCTGTGGTGACATTAGTCCAGGGGACAAGATCATGTAGTCAACTGGGGCTGACCATGAGGCATATGAGCAGAAATCGGCCACTTAATAGCAAGTCTACTCTAATATTCAGTGAGATCATAGTTGATCTGATAAACCTCAAGACCTCTTTCCTGGATTTTCCCCATGACCCTTGATTCCCTTACTGATTAAAAATCTGTATCTCAGTCTGGAATATACTTAATGACTAAGTTGCTGCAGCTCTCTGCAATAAAGAATTCCAGATTCACACTGATTTGGTTCACTACCCTCTGAAGGAAGACATTTAGAAACATAGAAAATAGGTGCAGAAATAAGCCATTTGGTCCTTCAAGCCTGCACCACCATTCAATACAATCATGGCGGACCATGCAATCTCAGTATCCCATTCCCGTCCTCTCCCCATACCCCTTGATCCCTTTAGCCACAGGGCCATGTCCAGCTCCCTCTTGAATATATCTAACGAATTCCACAAATTCACAACTCTATGAGTGAAGAAGTTCTTCCTCATCTCAGGCCTGAATGGCCTACCTCTTATTCTTAGACTGTGACCCCTAGTTCTGGACTTCCCCAACACTGGGAACATTTTTCCCATATCTAGCCTGTCCAGTCCCATCAGGATTTTATATGTTTCTATGAGATCCACCCTCATTCTTCTAAATTCCAGCAAATACAAGGCCAGTTGATCCAGTCTTCCCTGATATGTCAGTCCTACCATTGCGGGAATCAGTCTGGTGAACCTTCACTGTCCTCCCTCAATGGCAGGAATGTCCCTCCTCAGACTAGACTATGCACGCATTAGAAATTCCTCCTCATCTCTGTCTTAAATGTGTGATCTCCTATTCTGAGTTTATGCTGTTTGGTCCTAGACTGTCTCACAAGCAGAAACAATCTCTTTGCATCTACCCTGTCAAGTTCCTTGAGTCTTGGATGTTTCAATAAGATAGTGTCTCATTCTTCCAAATTTAATGAACCTACTCAACATTTCCTCATAAGACGGTCCCTCAATACCTGGCATCAGCTTCCCCTTGTCCTTCTAGATTGAAGTGATTGTGGGTTTAGAAGGTGCTGTCCAAGGATCTTTGGTGAATTTCTGCAGTGCATTTTGTAGATAGTACACACTGCTGCTACTGAGCATCGGTAGTGGAGAGTCGGAATAGTTGCGGATGTGGTGCCAATCAAATGAGCTGCTTTGTCCTGGATGGTGTCAAGCTTCTTGAGTGTTGTTACAGCTGTATCCAGTATTCCATCACACTTGTGCCTTGTTGAGGGTAGACAGGCTTTGAGGAGTCAGGCAATGATTTACTCACTGCAGTATTTCTAGCCTCTGACTTGCTCTTGTAGCCATTGTATTTAAATAGCAAGTCCATTTGAGTTTCTGGTCAATGATTCCCCCAGGATTTTGACAGTGGGGAATTCAGTGATGGCAAAGCCATTAAATGTCAAGGAGCAGTGGGTAGATTGTGTTTTATTGGAAATGGTGATTGACTGGCATTTGTGTGGCACAAACATTATTTGCCACTTTTCAGCACAAGCCTAGATGTTGTCCAGGTCTTGTTGCATTTGAACATGAACTGATTCAGCCCCACATATAAATTGGCTTAACAAAAGCAGTTGAGCCTGAAAGATTATAGATGCCACAGGAACAGCAACTCAAAAGAGAATAAAGGTTGGCAAGGTGATGAAATTAGTGTGTCACAGGCAGCACATGTAAGACACTCTACTGAAACAAAGTTAGAACTCTTCCATGTCAGATCAAAAGTCAACTGCTAATAACCACACAAAATGTCTGACACCACAGGCATTGTGGGTGCAGCAAGGGGCTGCTTCCCTTTTCAGAAGTGAATCAAAACTTTTGGCATCTGAGGCCCTGCTAGGGGAAACTGTAGTAATCATACCTCCACTGATTCGGTAATGTCATCTACCTGGCTTTAATATGCATTTCATTGGCATATTGTTACTTTTCCAATAATTCACATAAAGAATTATGGCCTCAAGCAATCATGACCATTATACAGTATACAGTAATTACCTCCTTAACATGTCAGCTGGCCATCAGAATAAGGTATTTAAAAATAGTACTTGAAATTTCCATTTCACAAACTCATTCTGTAGCTAGCACTGGCAGACAGTGCCTCGCAGCTGTCACATTCACACTTTGCATAGCAAGTATCCAAGGGCATTGTCTGTGGTATAGAAGGATGTCTTTTTCTTTGGGTGGGGTTTCTATCATGGTGCCTTAAGTGCAGAATTCTACTCCCCCAGAGCAGCATGAAAAATTTGGTTCAGAAATGCACACTGGATGAGCTGATGTACCTCAGAGCTTCTGACTGAGGCAATGACAATGACCTCCTTGGGAAGCTTCCACGTCACATTTTGTGAAGGCGTAACATAAAGCTTCATCAATATGGATGTGAAAGCAAACTGTGTTATCTTTCTGACATCTGCACAGATTATCTGCTCACATATCTCACATAAAGATCACCATAGTTGGAGTGCTTGTGGCCTTGAACCATCTATGAAGATAACATAAAAAAAGATAGTGATTACTACTTTGCCAACAAGCCCAGCAAGGACAATAAGCTCTAGGAGTTACTGCACAGCCTCCATAGGGAGAAGCAGTAGGGGGATCTACCAAGGATACAGAGAACAATGATGAGAACCCAGATCTACAGATCTCACTATCATTTTCTTCAACTGTATGATAGTTATTGTAAGCATATTGTAAGTTAGATATTAAGAATGTCTCAGGCCATCATCACAGAACTGTGTCTCCTGCTGGAACAGCACTGGGTGACAATCTAATCCTGGTGGTCATCAATGTCTAAGCTGCCCTGAATTTGTATGTCAGCGGCTTGTTTCAAGGAGCAACTGGGGACCTGCAAGTATCTCTCAATCCTCAACCCAAACGTGCACCTGGCATAAAACTGATGCCATTTTCACCAGATCACCAATCTTCATAGCCCTGTGACAAGGAAAGTCCAGCGGCTCAGGCCCTGGCACTTTCCACCATCACTGGCTTCCCCCAGCTGCAGTGCTCTAATGACTGTAGCCAAGTTGCTTTGATAGTGCTGCATCATCAACCTGCAGAGTTCATCAAAAGAACAAGATTCCATTCCATCAGTGTTCAAATTAAGTGATCATTGATGTCACATTTTGGAGGTCTGCATCAGATATCCTGGGAACTGCCATAACTCTTGCACACTAGAGTATTCACAGGTTCCTGTCTCTTTCCAAAGGGTGCTATGGGGATGGCTACTAGGAGGCAAGAGGTACCCCTCTTTTATAAAATCCTCAGACTATCGCAGAACAAACATACAACACTGATTACACTTCCATTGGAATAGACCATGAGCCTCCTTAAGATGTGGTTACAATGTCTGAACCACTTTGGCAGAGCCTTGCAGAATAGCCCAGAAAGGGAATCATTGTGGCATGCATGTGTCCTTAGAAATTTATGCATCTCTTTCAGAGGAGTCACCTATGGATTTTAATGCTGAAATAAAGGCTGTTCTGGGTGCGTACAGGTTAGGTCCTGAAACACATAGGCAAAAGTTTCAAAATTTAAGGGAATAGCCTGGGCAAACCTACTTTGATTTGAGAAGGCAAAGCAAAGTATTTTGACCATCAGATACAAGCATTAGGAATAAACATATGACGCCATCAAAGAGATCTTTCTCTTAGAAGGATTTAAAAGCTCACAACTTTTAGTCATGAGAATGAATATCGAACACAAGATTGCAACCGCAAGAGAGACAGCAGGAATGACTGAGGATTATGAGCAGTTCTGTAAATCTATGTGTTTTTGCATACTAACCCGAGAAAGATAAATGGTGGGAGAGTACAAGGAAAGCAAGTAAATGGAAAGCCGCCACAATTCTATGATTCCATGGGGCTGCTCTCTCATTAGAGAGGGACGACTGGTTGTGGTTTAACCTGAGAGTTACCACACTTCAGATTAGGGGAGATGTTGAGAAGGAGAGTCCTTCATGGTAACCTGAGCCAGTACAGGAATTGAACTCATGTTGTTGGCATCGCTCTGCATCACAAATCAGCCAACCAGCCAACTTAGTTAACTGACCCCCACAAGGAAAGCAAATAGCCAGGGCAGAGAAGGGGTAGCTGTAAATTTTGACCTGAGGAGGAAATCTCAAAGTGTTGAAGGTTGCAGCAAGGCCTAACTGTTTCCACAATGTAAGACAAAACAGGAAAGTCCCCATAATTCAGTAGATTGCTGGGACTCATTGAACAATTTCGACACTGAAAATATATAAGAAAACTTCCTGTGCCCATGGGAGTTATGCATACATGAGGTCAGTGCCTGAGAAACGTATGCCTGACTGGACCTGTAGGTCTACATTCAGTTTCATCACTTTCTTTTTATGTTTGGAACACAAATCCTAAATGTTATACAACAACAGATCGGTCCCCCACCTGTACTCTATCCCTATGTTTTACAGAGTGTTACCTGTGCCCACCAGTACTGTAACCCAGTGTTATACTGAGTGACCCGTCCCCACAAATTCTGTATCCCAGTGCTATGCAATGACAGACCAGTACTCTACCTCAGTGTTAGAAAAAGACAGACTTACCCCAGCATTACTGTATCTCAATGTTATACATTAGTGTCCTGCGCTCACCAGTACACTACCCCAGCGTTACAAAATGAAAGACTTGTACCTGGGATAATAACCTCAAGACGAACAAATTTTCATGTATAAAGCAGTTTTCACGGCCTCGAATGTCCCAATATACTTCACAGTCAATGAACCATAACTGCTGCTTAATGTACAGTTAAGATTACAATGTAGGATAATAGCAGCCATTTGTCCTGAAGTAAGTTCCCACAAACAGCAATATGATAAATGACTAGAGAATTTATTTTTAGTGATATCAGTCGAGGGATAAATGGAGAACTTTGCTCCCCCTTCCACATAGGGTCATAGGCATGTACAGCTACTTGAGATGACAGGCAGAGCTTTAACTTTTTTAACGAAGGCTATAGAAGTATCCATACAGCTACAACTGATACAGTACATTCCCATGATTGGCCTCATTAAACATCTGGACTGATGATTCCAGGAACCAGAACCCTAGCAGATTCAGCAGATCTGAGAATTAAGGGAGCAAGAACGATTCTAGGGATGAAGGGCTCATAAAATGAGGAGCAGTTGAGGACTCTGACTTTGTACATGATGGAGTTTAGAAGGATGAGGGAGTATCTCATTGAAACTTACAGAATACTGGGAGGCCTGGATAGAATTGGCATGGAGAAGATGTTTCTACTGGTAGCAGAGACTAGCACCCAAGGGTACAGCCTCAGGGTGAAGGGATGACCTTTAAGAACTGAGGTTAAGAGGAATTTCTTCAGCTAGGGGGTGGTTGAACTGTGGAACTCATTATTGCAGAAGGCTATCCAGGCCAAGTCTAAGACAGAGATAAGGGGATCAAGAATTATGAGGAGAAGGCAGGAGAATGGGTTTGAGAAACAGCCTGACTGAATGGTGGAGCAAACTTGATGGGCTGAATGGCATGATTCTGCTCCTTATCTTATGGTTTAAAATATAAATGAAGGGGAAAAGACATGGAGACCATGTACAGCCAGAAGGGATAGCGCTGGAACCTGCTGAGTAAGTGAGTGAAGCCCTACCTTGTAACTGTAACATCAACTGTCCAAATTCGTTGGCCCCTCCATTGTGAAAGGTAAGTTTAAATGTTGCAGAACCTACCCACCCTCCTGTGGAAGAGAAAGAGGATTAGAACGAAGTGAAAAAACGAAAATTCATCAAAGCTTTTCTAATTTGCTCAGACTAAGTTCTAAGCTAGTGTTTCCCAATCTTTTTGCCAATGTGAACCCATTTTAATACTTCAGACTTCACATGACCCTAGGTAAAACTTTGAGGAGGATGTGTTAAGTCCAGGTTTTATTTTGAGCCGGGAGAACAGGTGGTGGTGGTGGTGGTGGTGAGCAAGTTCCATTCCCCCTCCAACACTCCACATCATCACCCCTTCTCCACTCATCACCCCTGCCTCCTCCTGCCCATTCTACATCTCCTCCACCACCCACTCTTTTTCCTCCAACTTCCATCAGGATAGGCCCAACAAATGTGGCAACAGCTCAGAAATCATCTCAATGTATCCCTCACCCTCAGATATTCTCTCAACACTATTCCCTCATCGCATACCAAATATCTCATATCCAACAACTCACCATATTCCTAATTTCCACTATATACTCAACTGCACCCCACATCCCTCACTCTTCAATTTACTTACACAATTTTTCAACATACCCCAGTTGCACTCTCCCCATATCTCTCATTCCCATCCTCCCAGCATATCCCAATCCCTACCTGCCGCACCAATGATGCCCCATTTACCAACTTTCTCATCAGTTTGTTCTATCCTTCCAACTGCCTAGATTCCATTAACACTACATCTGCCCTGTGGTAACTTACCCCGGTCTGATGAAAAGCCTTCACAAGTTTTGAACCCTTCAACTTATGTACCCATCAATGTTAAAAATTTATTTCAACAGAGTGATTTTTTAATTCACTTACACATGTGGGTGTTTCTGGCTGGGCCAGTGTTTGTTGCTCTAGCTGCCCTTGAGAAGGGGTTGGAGAGCTGCCTTCTTGAAATGCTGCAATCCACGTGCTGCAGGAAGACCAAAATTCCAGGATTTTGACCCGGGTGACACTGCGACATATTTCCAAGTTAGGATGGTGCGTGGCTTGGAGGAGAACAGACAGGTGGTGGTGTTCCAAAGTATCTGCCACCTTTGACCTTCTAGATGATGGTGGTCATGGGTTCGGAAGGTGCTATATAAGGCACCTTGGTGAATTTCTGCAGTGCGTCTTGTAGATAGTACACACTGCGGCTAATGAGTATTGGAAGGAAGTCAGGAAATGAGTTACTCACCGCAAGATTCTTCCACTCTAGCCTGCTTGTGAAGCCACAGCACACAAGACTAAAATAAAACAAAAGCTACAGATGCTGGAAATCTCAAACAAAAACGGAAATCGCTAAAGAGGAAAGAAGGGTCACTGAATTCAAAATGTTAACTATGCTTTCTTTCCGGAGATGCTGCTCGACCTGCTGAGTTTCTCCAGCAGTTTCTGTTTCTGTATATGACTAGTCGAGTTCAGTTTCTGGTGAATGGTAACTCCCCAGCATGTTGTTAATGGGGGATTCAGCAATGGTTGCACCATTGAATGTCAAGAAGCACTGGTTAGATTCTCTTTTGGTTGAAATGGCCATTGCATTTGTGTCGCAAACAAAGCTGAACATTGTGCAATCATCAGTGAACATCTCCACCTCTGACTTTATTTTGGAGGTAAGGTCATTGATGAAGCAGCTGAAGATAGTTTTCGTTAGGACACTGCCCTGAGGAACTTCTGCAAAGATGCCCTGGAGCTGAGATGACTAAACTCCAACAACGACAATCATCTTCCTTTGTGCTAGGTGTGATTCCAAACAGTGCACAGTTTTCCCCCGATTCTTATTGACTCCAGTTTTGCTGAGGGTCCTTGATGCCAACTCCGTTAAATATGTCTTTGATATCAGGGGCAGTCACTCTCACCTCATTTCTGGAATTCTGCTCTATTTCCTACATTTGGACCAAAGCTGTAATGAGGTCAGGAGCTGAGTGACCCTGGCAGAACCCAAACTGAGAGTCAGCAAGCAGGTTATTGCTGAGCAAGTGCTGCTTGAAAGCACTGTTGATGATGCCTACCATCATTTACAATGATTACAATGTTAATCTCTGGAAATAAGATGGACTGAATTTTCAGGCCCTTTGGAGTCAGTAAACAGAGGTCGGGTTGAAGTGGGTGGCTGGAAAAGAATATCAGCTTCGGGAAACAACAACCATTTTCGGTGAGACTGTTCAAGGCTTGATAATGTTGTTCACCCCACAAGATATTTAAGGAGGTAATTCACGGCTCTCAGCAAAATATATCTCAGTAAGCAGGAAAGATTCTAACAGAGGGATAAACCAACCATGGTTAACCTTAAGTTAATGAAAGCAAAAATTTGAAAGAAAAAGTACATAGGAGGTAAAAATCAGAGAACTGGGATAAATTCAGAATCCAACCAAAGAGGTTTAAAAAGAAAAAAAAACTATAAGGGCAAACAAGCTAGGAATATAAAAACTGACATTAAGAGCTTTTTAAAATATACAAATAGGAAGAAAGAGATCAAATTGAACATAGGCCCCTTAGACAAAGAATCTGGGGAGATTTCCTAGTTATGGGGAACAAGGAAATGGCAGAACAGCTAAACAGATATTTTGCATCAGTTTTTACTGTGGAAGATATTTCAAACATTCCGTTAATACTAAAGAATAGAGGGAAGGAATTAAGTACCGTTACTATTGCTAGAGAAGTAGTATTAGACAAACTAATGGGTCTAAAGGCAGATAAGTCCCCTGGCCCTGATGACCTGCATCCTATGATCCTTAAAGAAGTAACTACAGAGACAGTGGATGCATTGGTTGTAATTTTTGAAAAATCTTTGATTCTGAATAAGTACCAAAGAATTGGAAAACTGCCAATGTGACACTCTTATTTAGAAATAGAGGGAGGCAAGAAGTGGGTAACTGTAGGCCGATTAGTCTAACATCTATTGTTCGTAAAATGTTTGAATCAATAATTAAGGAAGTAATAGCAAAACATTTGGAAAATCATAATTCAATCAAGGAATCAGCATGGCTTCACGAAAGGGAAATATTGTCTCACTAATTTATCAAGGAAGTATCAACTAGAGTGAATAGAGGGGAATCAGTAAATGTGTTGTATTTGGTCTTCCAGAAGGCATTTGACAAAGTACCTCACAAAACGTTAAGTCATAAGATCCCATAGAGATAGTATATTTGCATGGAGAGAGAATTGGGCAATGGGCAGGAAACTGTAAATGGAGATAAGGGATTTTTATTTTTGGGTTGGCAACCTCCGAGCAATGAGATTCCACAGGGATCAGTGCTGGGATTACAATTGTTTACGAAATGTATAAATGACTTGGAGGAAGGAAGTAAATGTAGTGTTGCCACATTTGTAGATGACACAAGAATAGTTGGAAAGGCAAGTGCAAGAGAGTACAAATAGTTTACAGAAATATTGACAGGTTAAGTAAGTGGGCAAGAGTTGGAAAATTGAGTACACTTTGGAAAATGTGAAGTTGTTCATTTTGGACTGAGCAGTATTATTTAAATGGAGAAAACAACAGAAAACTGCAACACAAAAGGACTTGGGGGTAACTGTGCATGAAACACAAAACTAGAACACAGTTGCAGCACGAAGGCTTATTTCAAAGGGCTTGGAGTAAAAGAGCAGGGAGGTCTTACTGCAACTGTACAAGGTACTGATGAAACCACATTTGGAGTACTATGAGCAGTTTTGGTCCCCTTGTTTAAGGAAAGATATCATTTCATTGGAGACAATTCAGAGAAGGTGCACTAGGATACTGTCCTATGGGAGAAGGCTAAACAGGTTGGGACTCTACACACTGGAGTGTAGAAGAATGAGAGGTGACCTCACTGAAACATACAGGATTCTTAAGGGGATTCACTGGGTAAATGCTAAGCGGCTGTCGTCCCTCATGACCAGAGAGCACAGTTTCAGTATAAAGGGGCACCAATTTAAGACTGAGACAAGGAAACAAATTCTTCTCACAGAGGGCTAAGTGTTTTTGGAACTCCTTTCTACAGAAAGCTACGAGAGTAGAGTCCTTATGTATATATAATATTGAGAAAATTAGATTCTTGATCAGTAGGGAAATCAAGGGTTATGGGGAAAGGGGAAGAAAGTGGACATGATGAATGTCAGATCAACTATGATCCTATTGAACGGAGGAGCAGGCTTGGAGAGACTAAATGACCTATTTGTTCCTATTTCTTATCTTCTTATGAGGCAGGTAGGCAGTTTGCCTCACTGAGAACCGTGTTAAAGATACATTTAAGATGACAACTAGTATTCTTCAACCATCCACCCATTTCTTCAATGCAGTGGGGAACAGATCATGTGCCTACAATAGAGTACATACCAGCACAACAGGAGCCAGAATCTACAGGCTCTCTCTGCTTTCTGTGTACCCTCAAAGGCTGTGCTGTAGAAGAGTTCCCTGCTCACAGTGTTGGTCTGGCTGCTTTTTGTGTTTGTTAATTAAGTTTTTTAAACTTCTGTTGCTGACAGGACAATCTCATGTTGAAGTGCCCTGTCAGTTACTTACCTTTAGTCAGGTATTTGTCTGAAGCTCAAAGCCCTTTGGTTCAGTTGACATGCTGTGTACCTCCCTTAATCGGACAGGGAACCTGTCTCACGCCCTGTGTTTAAACATGTGAAAATTTTAAATTTTAATTAGTTTTGTCTCCAGAGGCCAGTTCTGATCAGTGGAAAAAAAACCCTCCTTCTTCCCATTTCCATCTTCAGAAAAATCTACAAATTCCCTCATTCCCCTTACATGGCATTATCTTCACTCCCTAAGTTAAAGAGGTTCGCAGAGGAGAGTACAGCCCAGCAGCATGAGATGGCTAAACCACTGATCTACAATGTCAATTGTGTATTAATTATGTTTGATTGCATGCTGGTGGTGTGCACGAACTAGACATTAACATGATCTTCTATAAATTTGGCTTTTGGGTTAGGAGCTGCATACTTTTTTTAAAGTCAACTTGTTTTGGACATTTTGTAATATACCTCTGGAGGGAATTGGAATTGAACATGGATCTTCTGGCCCAGAGTTGGGTGCACTACCTCTACACCATAAGAACCACAAGGTTAGGAACCATATGTTTGTAATGTTAAATTCTGAAAATAAACAGAAAAACAGTGCCTTCAGCTGTATGCTTCATCACTGGCTTTCTGGAAAGATCGGCTGCAGCCTAAGTATCTAGTATTGTCCTTCTTGTCAACTCCACTTATAACTCTGGGATCATCTGTAGGTCAAAGATAACCCTCTGCTTTTTTTCTTCAATACTAACCATCTATTCAATCCCTACACCTGCAGACCCCTCACCTCCAACAATATGCATGAAGAACTTACAAAGAACAAAAAGAACAAAGAAGATAACAAAGAAGAACAAAGAACAATACAGTGCAGAAACAGGTACTTCGGCCCTCCAAGCCTGCACTAACACATTTTGCCCTTCCATACTAAAATTGTCTTCACTTACAGGATCCGTATTCGTCTATTGCCTTCCTATTCATGTATTCGTCCATATGCTTCTTGAATGCTGCTACTGTGTCTGCTTCCACCACCTCCTCCAGCAACATGTTCCAGGTACTCACCACCCTTTGTGTGAAAATCTTGCCTCGCACATCTCTTTTATACTTCCCTCCTCGCACCTTGACCCCTTCACCCTGTGAAAAAGCCTCATACTTTCCACTCTATCCATGCCATTCACAATCTTATAAACTTCTATTAGGTCGCCCCTCAACCTCCTGCATTCCAGTGAAAACAAACCCAGTCTATCCAACCTTTCTTTATAGCTAAAATCCCCCAAACTAGGCAACATCCTGGTAAACCTTTTCTGTACCCTCTCCAAAGCATCCATATCCTTCTGGCAGCGTGGTGACCAGAACTGTGCATAATATCCCAAGTGTGGCCTAACTAAAGTTAAATAAAGCTGCAAGATAATTTAGATAGCAGGAACTGCACATGCTGGAGAATCTGAGATAACAAGGTGTAGAGCTGGATGAACACAGCAGGCCAAGCAGCATCAG